CACAGGGGGGAGGGAGGGAGGGAGGGGCGGGGAGCCCGGGAAGCAACCAATCTCATTATGATGGGCCTGGTGACAATAACCTTTTGTCCTCTAAACAATCTGGGCCTGCCAAGCCGCTCCACAGTCTCCGAGAAAGCAAGACGGTGGGAGAGAAAGGGTCCCTGTCAGGAGGCAACAGACTCATCTTTAATTATGAGACAAGGCTTCCCAGAGCTGACATCCCCTCCTGCACTTCCTCCCTGCTGCAGACAAGCCACAGTATGCTGGCGCAGGGCTCCCCTAATGAGAGGCGTCAGTTCCCTCTGCCTGGGTTCTTTGGGGATGCGGCGGAACCACCCCACCATCCCCGAAAGCATTCCAGGGCTCTGGGTGAAAAGGCGGAAGCATTTCAGTTGAATTTGACTACGGGCCTCACACTGGGAGTGAGAAAAGTCACCGCCTTGCAGTTCCTGAGACGCATTCTTTCAGGACCGCTGAGGAGATAGCCCTGTGATTCGGGTCCACTACATTCCTTTCTTTTTGGGGGGGGGGGAGGAAGCAGGTTTCTTTGTGTAGCTCTGGCTGTCCTGGAACTCGATCTGTAAGCCAGGTTGACATCGAACTCACAGAGCTCTCCCTCCTGAGTGCTGGGATCAAAGGCATGCACCTCTGCTACAACGCACTGCTTACATTTCAGTCAGCTCTCAAAACCTGAGTAAAGATACCTGCTCTTACCCTGTAGGGGTGGGCAGATACTTACATTCCAATTGGTGATGCAACATTGCAGTTACAAAATAGCAATGGAATAATTTTACGGTTGGGGGGGGGTCACCACAACAAGAGGAACTGTGTCAAAGGGCTGCAGTGTTAGGAAGGTTGAGAACCAGTGACCTAGGGGGACCTTGGCTGCCATATTAGCCAAGAAGGAGTCTTGAAGCCAGGTTCTTCGAGTTCTAGTCTGTAGTTTGACACTGTGTATCGACAGAAGCTGAGCACACTACACATCCTTCTGGGTCTTGACTGGCTGGAGCGAAGAGTTAGAAACAAGGGGGGCCCATATTGTCATTGGCAGGGCAAAGAAGTAGATGGTCGTACGCACCTGAAGCCATCTGTCTCCAACCACATACTACCCCTTTCTCATACTAGTCCCGCAACCATGAGCACGTTAACCTTTGCGCCTCAGGGTTCTTTACCTATGAAATCTACTGAGTACACTGGCCTACTTTAATAGTAAAATCTGAGGGTTAGATAAAGCTTTCATCACAGGGCTTGGCCTGCAGCTCCTCCAGAACCTGACAGCCAGCCATAGTGGAAGCAAAAAAAAAAAAAAAAAAAAAAAAAAAATCTACACAACCAAGCATTTCCTGCAAGGATTTACCTGCACAGGAGCATGTTAGCCGAATCAGAGAAATGAGTTCATAGCCCAAGGCTACCTTGGGAGCCAAGAAACACAGGGCTTGGCCAGATAAGGAATCATTTGCATCCTGGAGAGGATACCCTCCCATTGCTCAGCAGTCAGGCTTCACTGGGAAAAGAAACAGGCTGCAAAACAGGCTCCCGCCTTCTTGTAAATTAACCTTGCAACCCTTTCTCCTTTACAGATGGCCGAGAAAGCTTCTCAAACACCTCAGAGTGACTCCTGGGGCCAGGGCTTGGAGCTCAGTTAGTGGAGGGCTTACCCGGCATGTATAAATAAAGCCCTGAGTTCCCACCTTCAGGACTGTAAAAATCAGGGGTGATGTCACACACCCACAATCCCAACACTTGGGAGGAAGAGACAGGAACGATCAGAAGTGTCACCCTGCTGTCTAACTGTCTCAGTTCCCCCTGAGCCTGGGGCACCATGACAGAACACTTCCTTAGGGTACACAAGGCCTGGCTTCCATCTCTAGCTACACAGCAAGTCCTAGGCCAGCTTAGCCTATGCGGGATCCCCTTTTCAACAGCTCCCCACAAAAACCAACCAAACAAGCTAAACATCAGCAGCAACAAACCAATTCTTGGTCGGAAGCTCTTTGCTAGAGGGTGAAGCACAAGATTATCCTAGTGGGGCGGAAGTGGGATTTACGCAGGCCGTGGTGTAAACGGGTTTTAAACGTCACAAATTCGTTCATCTAACAAGGATAGAAAGGGCTTTTCCCTACGCCTCCCCCAGTCTCATTTTCAAATCAAAAGAAAGAACAGGTAGGAAGCGTCCACAGATCCTGCTCACAGCCAAGCCTGGAAGTCAGCAGCCACACTGGCAATTACCTCGGGAACAACTCAAATTCTGACGGACTGAAGCCATTCTCAGTCCTGGCTACTCAATTATTTAGTGTGTTCAGTGAAGTCCCACGCAATTAAAAGCAGCTCATGAGCTCCCTGCAGTGCCACACTAACACACTCGGAGAGGGGGAAGGCAGAGAAAGGGTTTCTCTGAACCACGCCCAACAAAGGGCCCGCCCACCCCCACCCACTGCTCTGTGAAGTGCGTAAGAAGTCGGACAGAATCGAGTTCCGGAGCTCACTTTTAAAAAATTACAAAATGAAGGCACTTTGGCCTTGTTAAAGGGAAAGATATATGAGCCACTCAAAAAAAAAAAAAATTTAAGTATAGTTTCAAGAGACTGAAAAAAAGGAACCTTAAAAAAAATATAAACCCCTAACCTTATCATCCAGTTTGAGTGAATAGTTACAGCCTCTGAAGGCGTCTTGTCCATCGAAGTGATGACACCTTTCCTCCCAAGTGCTTTCTTGAGAGCCAGAAAGAGACATTACGCTACCTCTCCACCCCAGTTAACTAACACAAGTATCTGCCACAAAGACACTCTTCCTAGAATAACAGAGGCACAGCATTGATTCTTAGGGTTTCCATCAATTCCTACTTCTGGTCTGGAAAGAATAAGCACACAGCCTTGTCTCAATCTCAACATATTTCAAGGCAACCTCAGCCTGCCCTTTGGGTTGGCGGGCCCCTCACCATCAGGGGAATCCACCCTCCTTCATCCTGTGATACCTGCAGCTGCTTGCTTCTGTGTGACAAACACTGGTCATGTCTCGAAAGCAGAGAAGACATTTAAATGGACCACCAGAGCTGCTCTGACTTACTCCTTGGATTTAGACCCATGCCATTTTGTCTCCTGTCCATTTTCGTTTTTACTAGGTTGGGAGACCACACACTCTATATATATCATGTGTATCTATATATACCTATCTATGCCCATTTTCCCTCTGTGTACCCCGAGTCTACCCCTCACCTTCCCTAATATGACCTGAAAACATTTCCATTTAATTGTCCCCAGGAATACACACGAGCTGCTTCTATCATCCCACAGTAAATCTAAATTGCTACCGGCTTCCCACGTCTGCTTCGATCCAAGCTAGGCCTGTTGCCATCATCTCTCTCCTGTTTAGATATTTCCCACCTCATCACTTTAGAGGGACCCCCCCCCTTCCCGTGCTTACAACTGCACACACTCATCACCCTCCTTGCCGCATTTCCAAATTCTGTAACACTGACATCTCAACCCCTCTATGTATTTCCAAATCACAGTCACCTTTACCTTACACTTGATTTTTAATGAGAGATGCTCATTTTCCTGACTGGACTCAAGTGAATCAGAGGAGGTAAGGACAATAACTCCAGGGCTTAAAAACCCACAGCTGCAAATATCAGGAGCCCTTCTGACTCCTACCCCGTTTTAGGGCTGGGACAAATCTTTGGGGCTCTCTGAGCCACACGGTCTCTGAGGGCTCCATAACCCACAGTAAGTATCCCATGGCACTTGAAGGCAGCCACACTGCTGAAACAAACAGGCGTGTGGCCTTTAAACCCTAGTCTACAGAAACAGGGGGCGGGCAGACGGTTCCCCAGTCATGGTTTACCGATTTCATCCGAGAGGAAGAAAGGGGCTGGGATCTGCTTCTTCGCCTAGCGAAAGACAAAAACACAAACAAACAAGTCCCAGAGGACAAACAGAGGCCCAGGCTCTATCGTCCTTGTACCCAAGGGCCACGCTCACCTGTTACAACTGTCGACCATGAAGAAGAGATGCTAACAATACATTTGCTGCCTGTGCTGGCGAGAAAAGAGCAAATTGTCTCAACCTCCAGTGTCCCTCAGGTTGGCTCGAGGCCCCTCCCAAGGGTCTCAGGGCGGCAGAGCTCATGGCGGGCAGCGTTTTCTCACTCCAACCTCCCGTCCCGTAACCCACCGTCCTGCCTGTTACCCGTGAATGGGGTCTTAGTCAGCATAGTCCACTAACTGCTCAGCTGTAGACCAAGGCCTTGGTGCTTGGGCAGGTGTGTTTAGGGACTAAGGCAACCATGTCAGGAGTTATTACCTCGTCCTCAATGTGCTGAAACATAGCCAGCACATTGTAAGTGTGGGTTCAATCACCTGCAGTCGGAAAATACATTTTTGAAACTACCTAGTGAAAATACCCAGATATTTTTCTTGCCACTATTTCCTAAATGATATAACAACCAAGTATATAGTATTTACACTGAGTATTACTCATTTTAACTTGTCTACAAGGACCTGAAATAGAGACTAAATGCAAACACTCTGCCGTTTCCTATAGGGAAACCGGACATCCTCAGATTTCTATACTGGTAGCTAGCTAATTAACCTCTATGGATACTGAGGGACTCCTCTAAAGAAATCAGCTTATCTCTCCCAGGCTTCCCAAAGTTTCTCCACTTCACCCATGGGAAAAAAATGGGCTCCCAGGTTAGTTTATCCACCATTGTTCATTCAGGAAATCAAGAGTTGTGATTCAAACTCAAGCCAGCGTGGCTTACTAGGTCACATTCCTTTAATCTCTTTGATTGCCCCGCCCTAAAAATATAAAGCATAATACATTTTAAAAGCCTCCACAAGATTGTGTTATGTGAATCAAGGAATTAGTCAGGTTCGTGACTGAGCATTGGTCCTCCATGGCTGTGGGCCCTTGTCTGTCCTCCACCTAGAGCCCAGGGCCCCAGCTGCATTTGAATTGGTGGCTTTATATGGTGGCAGGTGGTGTGAGGAGTGCTCTTACCAGCCTGTCATATTAAAGTCCCTGTACAGCATCTTCTTCCCAAGTTCTTTCCTCTGCACTCTCCTTGGAAACTCCAAATGTGTGAACTCATTTCCCAGCAAGTGAGGCTGCATGAATGCCTAAGAGCAAAAAGAAAAAAAATAATAAATAAATAAAGGAAAAAAAAAAAAAAAAGCCACACACAGATTTCAGAGGACAAAAGAAAACTTGAGTATGTTTTGCAAATTGAGACAAGCCTTAGTTCAAAAACCAGGAAAACTGTCTCCCATTCTGAGGGAAGTAAATACATGCATTTCCGAATTTGAACACTAATAGAGATGAGTAAACAAAAACTTCCAAGGGCTATTGCTGTTGGATTTGACAAGTTAATTGTAATCAACGGCATGCATAGCTAATGGCTTGGGGGAGAGCACAGGCTTTTCAAAGTCGACCTTGCAGTTTGGTTTCCACCTTCTGGAAAACATGTTGGCTAGACTGAAGGCCAGCGAGCTTACTCTGACCTCTCCCTTGCCCCCTGCCCTCTCTTAGCAGTACCCATGGATTTGCCTCTGAGAGCTGCATGTGGGGTTCCAGAACACCCAAGAGACAGCCAGATCCCCCACAGTGGGGCTGGATACTGGACAGGAGACTCCTGCTGGGCCCACCCTCCTCCAGTTTGCTCTGTAGTCTTTTGCTAGACTATTCCAGAACAGATGGCTTCTCCCATTCCCTGCACATCTCTGTTCACATTACAAAAGCCTCCGGACAAACAGCCACATGCATGGTTGCTTTGAGGCAGCAGTCTCGCCGTTATACTCCAAATCCAAATCTAGTTATCTAAGAGATGAACTGCTCACATTCTGACTTCCCCGCCAAAGCTACAAACCCTGGTACCTGTGTTAGATCCTTCCCACATCCTGCCCAACTCCCGCATGAGAGCGCTGTGATGGTGGATTGCTCTCCTCACATCGGGGATGAGTGGGCAGTGTACATCATGGCCAACCACTGCAGGAACATAAGGGATCCCATGGTAGAGCAGATGGCCACACCCTCCGTTAACTGGTACAAGTTCAGTATCCCCTCTCTGAAATGCTTAGGGCAGGAAGTCTTTGAGGAGAGGGATGGGGCGCAACTGGAATATTTCCAGAAACATAATGCGAGATCCCAGGGATGGGACCCAAGTTTACATTAAATTCATTTATGATTCAGACACACCTTACACACAGTCTGAAGGCAATTTCATACAGGGTTTTCAGTGTGTGCTCTGACTGCAGCATGTCACTCGAGGTCCAGGGTGGAATTTTCCACCTAAGGCATTATGTCAACACTCAGAAACTGTCAGGTTGGGGAGCATTTCTGGTTTTAGATTTTGGGATTTTAGGGATGTTCAACCTACAACAGGTATTTCCCATAGCCTCATTCCCAACGAGACAGGCAGGAGGTCTGAGGGTGAAGAGATTTTTGTCTTCCTGCCTGTCCAGTGGGACTCAAATGGCTCCGGATCTGGTGGGAGCCCTGGCTGCTTTGAGGAACTCTGATAGGTAATGGGGAGCTCCAGTACTGGGGGGGGGGTTCATGAAGAGAAGCTCCCCTGGGAAGGAAGGAAACTAATATGTAATAGGGCCAGTAGGCATTGGAGCCATCGAGCTCTGTATTCATTAATTTTGTGATCTTAATGAGTTATTTAATTCCCTGAGCCTTGGTTTCATTGTCTCTACAGTGACATTATTACTGACATTTTCTTAATTAGATATCTTAAATATTCTCATCATGGTTGTCTTTGCTCATGAAAAATAACTAGGGCTGGAGAGGAGGCTAAGTAGGTAAAGTCCTTGATGCATGAGGATGAAGGCCCAAGTTCAAGTCCCTAAATCCATGTAGAGCTGGCATAGTAATGTGTGTTGGCAATGCCAGTTTTCCCAGGGTGAGACGGGAGGCTAAGGGACAGGAGAACCCTCGGAATCTGCATCCCAGCCAGATAAACTGGTGAGTAGGCCCTGTCTCAAACAAGGTAGAAGGGGAGAAATGACACCTGAAATTGTCCTCTGACCCCCACACAGTCACTATGACCCATCGCGCACGCGCGCGCGCACACACACACACACACACACACACACACACACACACACACACGGCAACTTTTATATCCATTTAATGAGTTTTTGTTTGTTTCTTTTTTTTCGAGACAGGGTTTCTCTGTGTAGCTTTGGTGCTCAAAGATCTGCCTGCCTTTGCCTCCCGAGTGCTGCGATGAAAGGCGTACGCCACCACCGCCCGGTCATTTAATGATTTTTATGCTCCATGCTTCCTGAATTCTCTTATCACATCCTTACAAAAGTCTTAGGGCAGGAGGAACCATTACTTAATTTGTGAGCCCCAGAACAAAGTGACTGTATAGAGAAATTCAAGACAGGGATAGCTGTGAATAAAACTAAATACAAGGCCCAGTGTGACTACATGAATGATGTGCCCATGTGGCAGCCACGCCCAATGTGTAGTTAGGATTTTCTATCAGCACTGATCGCCAAACCAAAGGATAGGGCTGGGCGGTTATGGCACACACTCGGGAGCAGACACAGGGGATCCCTTTGTGTTTGAGGCAAGTCCCAGGACAGGCAGGGATACACAGAGAAAACCTGCCTTAAATAACAAACAAACAAAGAAAGGAACCCCTCCCCCACCCCAATAAAACAAACAAATGAAAAAAAACTAAAGACTAAAGAACAAAAGTTTAAGTTTAGTGCTAATAAACAGGAGTGTCTCCATGTACCCTCATCCTCTTCTGGAACTCTGAGGCCCTATCAGGGTGGAGGTTTGGTCCATTTCCTATCTCCAGGTGGGACTTGACTCCTTATCTCACTCAACAGTACTACAAAGCCTGTGACACAAACTCAATTTTAAAAACAGGGAACAGGGCCTGGCCTGGAGAGATGACTCAGCAGTTAAAAGCACTTGTTGCTCTCATACAGGACCCTGGTTGGGTTCCCAACACCCACATGGGGCCTCCCAATCATCCATAACTCCAGTTCCAGGGAGGTCAATGCCTTTTTCTGACCTTTGCATGTAACAGGCATTCATGTAGAACATTCTCCAAGTATACACACATGTGACTAGCCTCAGAAGACACAGCTTTCCTTTGGCTCTTTGTCCTATGTCATATGCAATTTATATTAAATAACTTTTGGGCTTTTTTATACTGCCCTCTATGACCAGGTCATCAGCTATGAACCCAGCAATGGGTAAGAAAGTCAAACTCTCCCTTCTTCCTCAGGGGCGAGTGCACAGAGGTCCAGGCACTTTGTTTCCTAACAGAAGGGTGAGCAGGGCCTTGGATGGGGTTTTAGCCAGCTACCCTTGTGCCCACTTCGGCCAGCATTCATTTACCTGGGGAGGTCTACCAGATGGCTTGTTGACGCAGATGTCCCTGGGTTAGCTGGCAACTCCTCAGACACCCTGCTATGTCCTGGAGCTGCTACAGCTGTCCGAGTCACCAGGACCAAGGGAGCCTAAAGTTGAGCCACTTCTGACAAGGAGTTCTCCCCTGCCCCCCCCCCCCCCACTGAAAGCTTGTCACAGAGAGACTACAAGCTGTAGTCTCTCCAATGGTAACAGGAAAGTGCTCTATTTCATCCCGTCCAAAAGGACATTTATTAGATGCGACATCACTCTTCCACACCTCAGGGAGAAAACTAGGGCTGCCGCCTAAATCGTATACCATGGTCTTTTACCATTTCAAAATAAAATTTTACTCTTTTTGGAAGAGTTCCTTTAAGAGAGCTTTTTACCATCTATCAATTTGGATATATAGATTAAATCATGTGTGTGCTGTTGGTACATAAGCATGCAGGGGTACATGCCTGTGCTTGCCCATGCAGAGATCAGGCAAGGTGTGCAATGACTTCCTGTCACTCTCCCTTAATGCCCTGAGGCAGGGTCTCTCACTGAACAGCACTTTGGTGGTGGCTGGACAGAGAGAACTCTGGGGGAATCTGTCTCTTCCCATCAGTGTTGGGGCTACAAACATGTGTAGTCATGCCTGGCTTTTTACATGGGTATTGAGGACTTGAACTTAGGTCTGACTGCTTGTAGAGCAAGAGCTCTCACTCACTGAGCCATCTTCCCAGTCTGGTCTATACGCAGTATGGGATGTATATGCAAAGTTCAGATACTCTACATAACGATATGGCTACAAACCTCGGTACACCCGATTGAAGTGCATTTAACAGTTCTAGCCCACTGCACACTGTAGTGTAGCAACACAATATACACTGTGTCTCCATTGATAACCCCAGTGAGTTCATGATTGGCAGAAGTTAGGGCTTGCCGACACTGCTGCCCAGCATTGTGAGAGGTGAAATCACCCATTTGTAGCTTAGAAAAAGGTAGAAATTCAAAATTCAGCTGGTTGTGGTTCGTGCCTATAATCCTAGCACAGGAGGCTGAGGCAGGGGGATCACAATTTGAACTACATAGTGGTTTTCTATCTCAAAACAAAACAAAACAGAATTTAAACTTTGAAGTGTGGGTTCTATTGTCTGTGTTTGGCTTTCACACTATGCTCAGGTTGAGAAGCCCGCAGCCTAACTATCAATGAAGGGCCATCTTTCTGCTGCTTGAAACTCGCCCGCAACTGTTTCGCATTAAGCATCCCACAGCTCTCATTGTGTTCCTGTTCAGAATCAGGAGGCTCACGGTTTTCACCACATCCTGTGTCTCATGACGCATCATCGACACTGCGCCTCCTCACCAACCGCAGCATAGCCAACACCTCAAAAGCTTAGCGACTGTCTTCCACAGCCAGCTGACTCCTACTCCAGGAATGCGGCTAGCCACGACTAGTTCCTGCCCAACTCACTCTTTCCACAGAGCCAGTTGGATCTAAAGAAGATTGATGGATGGTTTCTTCATCGGGAGGAATTTCCCCCTAGACACTGGTCAACCACCACGGTCGGACACACAATCCTAGAACTTGGCACACTCAGAAGATGGCAAGAACACAAACTGTCTCTCCCTTGGCCCTTCTCACCGATAGCAGGTCAGGTGGTAAGACTCCTACTGCAGAGACACCCTCCTACATGTGAAGGGATGCACCACCGGAGAAGGTAAACAAACACACCCTTCAAACTAGTGAGAGGGGTCA